CCATCGGCAGATAATCTGGAGAAGAGGGGGGTGCCCATCCCGAGGCTGTGTAAGATTTGCGGCCAAGCTGACGAGACTACGGAGCACGCATTGATGACATGTCCGAAGGCAGCTGAGACATGGGAGGAGGCGGGGGTGCTTCTCAGAAACGGAGAGGTGACCTTTCAGGTATGGCTCCAAAGACTTCTCTCGTGTGCAGATAAAGGCTTAAGTTCCAAGGTGGCTATGATCACATGGGGCTTATGGAAGAGAAGAAACTCCTTTATTTGGGAGGACGAGATGCAAGAGTCGGCCAGCTTGCTGAACAGTTGTGCTTGTATGTTACAAGCTTGGCGAGAGGCTCAAGGAGAGCCGAATCTTTCATGTAGAAGGGGCGGAAGGGGGAATCCGAGATGGGAAAAACCAAGGCCGGGCTGCTTAAAAATAAATGTGGATGCCGCAACAGATATGAACCGGGGTAGACGAGCTTGGGGTTGGGTGGCAAGGGATGAACAAGGCAATTTTGTCAAGGGTGGAGGGGGATCAATATCGGCTGACTGGAGTCCAGCGGAGGCTGAAGCTATGGGGATAAGAGAGGCTCTCAAGGTGGCTAATCAGGAGGGCTGGGAGAACATAGAACTGGAGTCTGACGCTCAGACGGTCATACGAGGTATTAAGGGAGGGGGTGGGTTAGCCTACTTGGACCTCATTATTGATGATATTCGATCCATGTTAAGTACAAAGGTAGAGCAATTTTCATGTCTCTGACTGTCCACGGTCTGCGAATTGTGTTGCTCACAAGCTTGCTAGAGTACATGTTTCCATCTCAGATCATAGTTGTAGTTATGATATAATGCCGGATTGTATTGTAAGCCTTTTGGGAATGACCTTCTCAATAAGTAATAAAGTGACTAGTCTCGGTTTAAAAAAAAGGAGTACATATTTGACGGGGGCAGGTCCAATTCCGCCCAATTGGTCCAAACAACCGGGGCGGGTCGATACTATAACCGGATTCGTCCACTGCCGACCGGGTCGAATTTTTACATGGGTCGTTTTATTTCATGCCTAATCCCAAATCGAGTCCAACACTATAATTAGGTGCTCGCTTTTACCGTTCGTTTTTATGTAAACTCACTTTTTTCTTTCAAAAACAAAATAAGTTTTTGATAAAGAATAACGTTCAAGATCAAATCAAAAAAGTTCGACAGATGGGGAGTATTTTGTGCCACCTTATTATTATATACCTAATAAACGTGTTCACCATTTTATTCTTATTATTCCCCACTAATTTAGCAGTGTATATCATGAGTAGGTTCATATATATCATTATATCTACCGAGTACTCTTCTCATCAGGCCGGCCTGACGGGCTGCCCCGTCCGGCCGAGCCCGTTTGGGCACCTTCCCGGTGGAATTTTTTGATGAAATTTTTTGAGCATGTTCATCATCAAGTCTAGTTTGTCCATACCAAATTTCAGCTCAAAATTCGATCGGGAAGGTCGTCAAATGATTTTTGCAAGTTAACTGGTCCAGAAAATACATATTCCGGACCAGTTAACTTGCAAAAATCATTTGACGACCTTCCCAATCGAATTTTGAGCTGAAATTTGGTATGGACAAACTAGACTTGATGAGGAACATGCTCAAAAAATTTCATCAAAAAATTCCACCGGGAAGGTGCCCAAACGGGCTCGGCCGGACGGGGCAGCCCGTCAGGCCGGCCTGATGAGATGATTTCTCGTATATATCTACCATTCAAAAAAATCATTATATCTAAAAAATATGGACCTAGTCACGCGGATCTTTTAAGCATCTTGTTGGGCCTTGGTGTACTCAACTTTTATCCGTATACATACTTCTTATATATCCACGATGAATCCAGAAGTTTTCAAAGCGGAGGGATAGGAGATTAGGAGGTCTTTGGATACCAGCGTTTTGGGCAAACCGCCACTATTTTAATGAAGTAAAACACTGGTATTTCCAGCGATTTGGCCACAAAATGCCAATAAACAAACAACGCCATAGTCTCATAAATGAGGATGGGTCGAGTCGATCAGGTGCATTATTGGCCTATTATATCCAGTCCGTTCATAATTTTATTTTTAATTGGAAATAGATTAGTCAATATTGGTTTCAATTGATCCGATGGACATCAAATCTATGGATTTTAGGTCTAGTTTTTAATCATTAAGATCATTCTAAACAATAATGTTGATTTTATAAAAGAAAGACATAATTTAGATTAGAAATGAATCATCCTTCTCCGTTTCCGATTTTTCATTAGAACTCGTTATTTTTATACCATAAAATGGTTAGAATTTTTTGTTTTAAATCAGGGTCATGTTGAATGTGACACATTGAGTCACAAAAATTGTTGGTACTTGTTTGAAATATTATACTACCATGTTAAAAATGAAGTATAATTCAACTTTATTATTCCACCCTTCAACATATTAAAACTCTATTTAATAATATGATTTTATATATTTAACTTTTATCATATTGCAGTATAAAAAATCAAATGAGCGGTCAGTCTGACAAATTTATCACGAATTTACATATTTTTTCACATATGTAATTTTATTCTAGAGAAAAGCCTTTCATCGATTAAGTTCATCTCACATACTAGAATGTGATATATTAGTCCTCTAACTTTGGAAACATATTATTCATACGTAGCAAGACAATCATCAATGCCTCATTTCAAAGAAAATATAGTGACAATAGCAATAACATGTCTAGGTGTAAGGAATCTTTGCATCACAACTCTTTGATCATTTATATTTCTCACTACAATTTATATGATTTTTGACAGAATTATCCATATATCTGATACCCGTATATATATTTTGTCTAGGACTCCGCATGATACTCCTCTTGTATTATACTCCGTATTTATTATGTTACATTTGATTTATATTGCACTTAATAAATTTTATTTGAATGAGGTCTACACATTGAAAGAATTATACTACATTCGTTCAAAAAAACTTTGTCATTTTCAAATCTTTGACTAACTGTGTTTTTAATGGAAATTATTTATAATATAAAATTATACTAAAATGTTCTTTGTTAAAGTAATTTCATAAAAGTATAAAATTTATAACTTTCATAATATTATTATACGAATCAAAAATATGTTTCAAATTTTTTGAAATGACAATGTACTTTGAACGGAGGTAGTATTAGCTTACCTATTTTTCAATAATTAAATCCTAGCTGGGAATCACTTTAACTAGTGTCTATCCGCCCGCCCGTTTAGATAGTAAAATTGATTGATTTTTTTCGGAAGAGGTAAATTGACTGAAATGAATATGTTAAAATTATTGAGATTATATATCATGGTTGATCAGCTAAATTGTGTAAGAATTGTAATTTAATTTATTTTGTTAACAAAATAAAAATATAAACAAATAAATAAATAATGCATGAATATGTGTCACGTTAGTGCTAAATTGATGCCAAATCTGTGTAAAAATCGTTTTATTACAATCGACAAAGTATATGCCAAGTAGGTTTTCACAAAATGCATGTGCTTGACACTGTGTTACATAAATGCTAAGTTTATGTCAAAATCGTTTTGTCACAACCTATTTGACACAAATTCATACCAAATAGATTGTGACAATTTGACAGTTTTTGACACTCATTTTGTTGGGACCTATGAATATGTGTCGATCATACTTATAGCTCTTTTATCACAACAAATCAATTGATGCCAATCCATGATGAGTCTGTATGAGTTTCATTTATTTCGTAAAAAGCATTTTGTACACGCTATTATTTTAACACTTTTACACACTCTCTGCGAAGTTTTTTGTCTATCACAGACAAAATGTGTTTTTGACTATATGGACAAAACACGTTGTCTGTGATAGACAAAAAACTTTCACGAATGTGTAAACAGTAAAGTTTATGCAATAATAATTGTTGTTTATTTAGTGTGACAAATTGGGGATCAGAGTTCTCCAACTTTTCAAGTGATTTATTCTCTGTTATGTTTTACTTGAACAACAAATAAACATCGTTTGTATGAAATTTACAAGCCTAGCCGAACATCCCCGTGACCACTATATTTTTCTTATTTATTCTCATTTCATCTTGAGTTTAACGTTACTGTCACTCTTCACTCACGTTCTCCTTAATTATTTTCTATTTAATTAGGTTACTTAAAATATTGTTGAAGTCCCACAATGAAAAATTGCGAAATAATGTAGTGCTATATTAAGATCTGAGCTACTCCTTTTATCAGGTTGACCTTTTAGGATGAAATCTCAAATTTTAACATTGTATCAGAGACAAATTGATACATAATCTATATTAAGATCTGAGCTACTCTCTCTATTAGGTCTATCTCTTAGGATGAAATTCCAGATCTTAACATATATTCTCACTTATAAGAATGGTCTACATTAATTTCTCATCAAAATATTTGGACCACACTATTTTGTTTAGAGAATTTTCCAAATTAAAATAGAAGTTAAAAGTGAGACGATTTTCCTGAACAAAGTACTATTCTTTTTTCTGAAATAGTAATAAGATACTGACATGATCATAGTGTCATATAATTATGATATTAATACGTCATTTTATATAAGAATATCAATACAATAATATGGCCGTAATTACTCTTATTTACTCCAGAAAAACACAATTTTTATACTCCGTATATTTGACTTCTATTTAGCATATCCACCTTTTTATTTAATGTATAAAAGTAGGGCAAAAAAATGCTATAGGACATAAATGTCAGAGGACCATCATGGAAGAAATACATGCATATCAATAAGTAAACGAGTGCTATATAAGCCAAATTTGACGAGTGATAAAAAAACAAAGCAATTCTTATCAATTTTACATACGATGTGTGAACGGAATCTTAACCAATACGCTACCCAAGACCATTCCAGTTTTACTATGACAGACAAACATACAAAGCACAAACTTTATTTTATTATAAGCTTTTTTTATTTGAAATTATATTCCTTGTATTGTAAGCTTTTTGGCAGAAATATAATCAGATGAAAATGAATTTTCTCAGTTCATTGAATATATAAAACCCTAACCCTACTATCATTAGCTATAGTACAATACGTAGCGATGCACACGCATGCTAAACGAGAAAGGCAAGTGAAAGGGAGCAAGACTGAATGGGTAAAAAGATATGCTAGAACTAAAGGAAACTATACATAAATGAAAAGGTGGTCGAAAAATATGTACAAAAGCTAGAATCCAATATCTCCATGGCTCAAAATCCATACCAAAACTAATTAAGAAACAAGACATAAAAGAACCATCATCCACTCCAGCCAGCCATTTCATCGATCTAATTCACATTTCAAGAATATCTAACCTTAATAAATTAAACCCTAGCTAGCTAGATCCATCTTTACTTTTTCTCTCCATGAACATTTTAGTTTAATGAACCGAGATCAAGATGCTTGAAAATGAAAAAAGATGGAACATATTAGATCATTTCAAATCATAAAACTCATTCATCATCACCACTCACACCATCTTTGTTTTGCCTCTTTCTCATCTCTGATGGAAGGATATCCTGGAGAAGCCCGTGATTCCGGTTCACGGTTGAAGACGAAGGAGGAGGAGGAGGAGAGGGAAGAACAAATAACCTTCTTTCTTGAAGCAAATCATTTGGAGCAGAAAACAGCTCACTACTTGCTCCACATGATGAGTTATTGGGGAACCTCAAAGGAAGAAAATCTCGGGCTAAAGACTCAAAATAAAACGAGTCTCGTTGTTGTTGTTGTTGCTGCTGCTCTTGTTGTTGTTGATGGTGGTGGTGATGGTGCATTGGATAATGGAAGAATTGATCGGGGCTAGGTACACCAAAAGGTGAACTTCTTCCACTGGTGCTACAACCACCACCATCACCACCAACACCGGGGCTTATGGGGGCCTTAGGGACTGTCGCAATAAGGCTGCTCGTCCGAGGTGTTACGGGACACGGGTGTATGTGAGTCCCCTCGTATGTCGTCACAATAGTTGATGGATCCTGCGACGACCTCTCGACCCTCTTCTTCACACCACAAGAAGGCGCCGTGCAGCGGTAGTAGCTTCTGTATATGTTTACAACAATTTCTCGTCAATTCAATGAATGCACCACAAAGTGTACAAACACCTTTTATTACCACAATTCACAAAGATGGTTAGCTTGTAGTCCTATCTTTTTTACAGTTTCATGGTTAAAAATGAGAGTGAAGTAATGTATATATATATATAGTTTAAACACATAAATGTGAATATGAATTTGTGTACGTGGAAGTTGCGTGAGGAAGTGAATTTGGGATAGTACCTTGGAAATGGGCTGTTTTTTACTGCTTTTTGGCCATACTTTCTCCATCTATAGCCATCGTCCAAGTTATCCGCTTCACTCTTTGTCATGAACGCCACTCTTGGTTCTCTTTGCCTCTTCTGTTTCTTCTTTTTTGGTTTCAACCTGTCCAAATTACATAAAAATCTGTTCTTGAAGCACAAAAACAAAACCCCACTTTTCACTCGCCACAAGAAAATATATCCAAAACTCTAAACTACATAAACCCCACTTTAATTTCTGCAAAGAAAACCTTTTTTTCCGTGAATGGCGATTAGTTAATTTCGTAAAAATGAAATCTTTAACACTTATCCCGCAGAAAATTATGACCAAACACATAAAAATCTGTTCTTGAAGCACAAAAACAAAAACCCACTCTAAAATTCTAAACTATATAAACCCCACTCTCTGCAAATAATCAAAACCCTTTTTTCCGTGAATGGTGATTAGTTAATTTCTTAAAAATGAAATCTTTATCACTTATTCCGCAGAAAATTATGATCAAACACATAATCAGATCATGCATAAAACAAAAGAAACCCTTTAAGCCGGAGATCGGGTTGACTTATCATCTTTCTCATGTTCATACTTCAGACCATCCATTATGATTTAATTAATTAATTAAAATGTGAAACGAAAAGAGGGTGTTGAATTGTTTGAAGAAAACCGTGTTCCCACCAGGTCAGTGGATTCAGTACAAAAAAAAACCATTTTTATTTTTTAATGGAAAGAATGATAAAAGAAGAAGAAAAAGAGAATCAGCTTATAATTAGCTTACAGCTGCTTAGCTTTGTCTTTGGGATCCTCTTCTTCAGCTTCATCAGCGGTTTTGTTGGCAGCTTCATTCGAAGAGGAGGATAGAGAGGGAGAGATGGGGGTGGCCGGAGTTTTCGCCACCTCCGGCGACGTTGACGGCGGCTGCGGCGGAGGAGGAACCAAGAAAGATGGCGGAACAGGCGTTTGGAGAAGGTCGAATATGGCGGAGTAAGCAGTGATGGTTTCGTCTTCGGGGCCGGGAACCAAATCCAAGTAGGATATGGAGAAGGAGCTCTGCTCGCCGTCCGTCTGATCAACCGGCGGCAGGTCGAGGAAGGTCTGCAAGGAAAAAGTTCCGGCCGGGATCTGATCGGAAAATGCAGAGTCACAAGGTGGGTCTGATTTCAACATCGGGTTTTCTTCACCGTCCTTCTTCTCCATCGATCAAAAGCTTAGATTCTTCATATGTATATACATATATATATGTATATGTATATGTATAATTCTGAGGCTTAGTATAGAGTGAGAAAGAGAGGGAGGAGAGAGAGGAGGGAGGGAGTTTGGTTTGGGGGATTTTGGAGACTTTTTCTTTATTTTGGGTATTTGTTTCTGTGGGGTGGCATTTGAGAAAACCAGAGTGGGACCCACTCACTAGTTGTTGACCGGACAGTCGCGTTATTAGTCTCGCAAATGCCTCATATGGTGTTGTTTTTGCAGCCAAAAATTGTTTCCCTTTCTTACTATGAGCCTGTCTAAATAATGTGAAGTGAGTTGAATCGTTCTTATTTCTTACTATGAAGTATGAACCCATTTTATGATTCCATAATGCTCCTATGGAGTACTTAATTTAATACGTAGAGTAACAAAAATGAGTAGTAATGAGAAAAGATAATGATCTTGTTATAATAATGATAATCAGTTTGATATCATTATGGTCGTGTTTGTTACCACATTTTTTGAGTTTTTTTGTCCACTCGTATCAAATAGATTGTGACAAAACGGTTTTGCCATGCATTTGGTAAAGATCCATGAATCTGTGCAACATCTGTGCCAAATCACTACCTATTTGACGGTATTTTGGTGGAGAACTATGCCATATAGGTTGTGAAACGGGGTTGAAAGATGTTTTGGCAATGATTTGATTGGGATTTATGAATCTGTGCAACATTTGTGCCAAATATGTGCCAAAGTTTTTTTGGATGTAAGGTGTAGCTATGGAAACTTTTTAATTGTTAGATGTAATTATATATTCTTAAGTTTTGGTTTTATAAGTTTTAATTATCTACTTTTCCATATTTTTGATCTTTTATTTTTTATACTCCATATATAGAACGTGTGGTATAATTCAACTTATATATACATTCATGGTTTGATATTTTTAAAGTTAGTTTTATTATGTTTTCTCATTTTTCGTATCTAGTTTTATCTTATGAAATATGTATAATCTTTTGTTGAAGATTGAACCAATAATTACTTTAATTTTATAACTTCTTTTTTAATTTTCCACTTTTCTCACATTTTCTTAAATTTATTTTGAATTTCTTCATTTCTATATTTTATAATTTTTTTTTTGTATAATACGTAAGAGGTTGATAGAGTCTATAGTTTAATTTTTAGAATATAGGGTATATGATTTAGAGTTTGAGATATATGGTTTACGAGGAGTATATATTATTTATCATTTTAGATCTATTTATGAAAAAATCCAAAACTAATTCGGGTGAACTGGTGATTGTTTGAGTAAGAGATTAACTAAATAGTAGTAAAAGTAATTTCGAATGTCAAAATAATACCCCCTCCGTCCCCCTTATATTGTTCTATTTTACCATTTTGGAAAGTCCTACTAATATTGTCTCATACTACAGCTGGACTCGGTTCAGACCGAGCCCGGGCCGGCCGGGCCTCCGGTCCTATAAAGGGGCCCCGAAACCGGCCCGTCCTTCGCCCGGTTCGGGCCTGGCCACCCGCCGGTTCGGGTCGGGTCTAGTTTAATTTTTTAATCTTTTTAATACAACTTAAATATGAAATACATTTTTCAAAAACTACTAATACAATAAATTCTAAGTTGTAAGTTTGTAACCAATTAATTAATTAATTAATTTGAGAAGTGCTACATATATAAAAAAGAATGTATATTTATTTGAAATATGAAATACAACTTTACAAATTACAATAGAGAATTGAAGGAAAAATTAAAACATGAAATACATTTTATAATAAACTGTAAAATACTAATCAATCGGAATCTCCAGCATAAGAGTCACCCTCGGTTGTTGATTCATCCATAAAGTCTTGGGAGGGGGTGATGCTAACTTCCTGACATCTACGTATGACCTTCAACCAACCGTGATAGCATATAAGCGTCTCAAGAGACTCAGCGCTCAAACTCGTTCTAGATGCCGTTAGAACGTTGCCGGCCGAACTAAATTCTTGTTCCACGGCAACTGTTGAAACCTGCATTGATAGCACTTGCTTAGCCATCCGTGCCAAAATCGGGAACATTCTTTTTTTTTTTTTACTTCCACCACTTTAGAACGTCAAACTCCTCATTTTCGTCAAATTCTACCTCATAATTTATATACAAAGAAATCTCATTAAGTGCGCTTTGTTCAGTAGTGTGAGTTGTTTTAGTTTTTTTCATAAGATTGCGAAAAGCAGATTTAAAAAGTGATTTTCCTTTAGATGAAGATGTGTGTGTCGGGGGAGGGGGCGCGTTGCCATATTGTGCACGAAACTCATTAAATAAGGCATAAAATAAATTACTAACCTCGTTGTATTTAACTTGCGGATCTATGGCGTTATCATCATACATTAAAAATGGACAAAAAAAAGCATTATAATAGAACTTCAAACATTCTTCCAAATTACCAAGTCTATAACGAGGATCGAGAATAAATGCAATACTATAAATATGCGGAATATGTGCATAATATTTTAAAAACTTTTCCTTCATAAAACCACAAAAATAACTCACGTAAGCGGCATTCTCAAATTCATTAAAAGCACCGGCGAGATTAACAACTTCACGAATTCGTTTGAGGTAGGTTTATACACATGACTAAAACTATCAGTTGCATTATTAAAATATATCAAAACATTACAATTTTTTTCGCAAGTGTCGATGTGAGTGGGGTTTAAAATATAGTTATCATATTGTCTTAAAAAAGCAGGAAAATGTTCTTTATATCTAAGAAGAACTTTAATTAATTTATAAGTACTATTCTACCGAATAGACAAATCTTTAGGAAAAGCAACATATTTCACACCTATTTCAATCAAATAATTTTGCCATTTTAATTTAAGTTGACCATTGCTCCAAATACGTCTAATCCCCACCTTGACCACCTCCATAGCATCTCCTAACGCTTTTATACCGTCTTGCACACATAAATTTATAATATGGCATGCACATCGTTGATGAAAAATCTATCCATCAAAGTATTAGAACCACATAATTCACGCAATCTGGGTATAGCAGCAGTATTATTAGTAGCATTATCAAAACCTGTAGCAAACACCTTATCAATCAAATTATACTCAGTTAAAATACGTTCAATCAAAATATAAATATGTTCAGCGGTGTGACGACCATTAAATTCACGAAAAGCAAGAACACGTTTATGCAAATTCCAATCACTATCAATAAAATGTGCAGTCAGGCCCAAATAATGTAAATTATGATAAGTATCATCCCAAATGTTAGAACAAATAGTAACACAGCCGTCAAAGTTTGCAAAATTTTTTTGTAACCTCTCCTTTTCCGCACGATAAAGGCTTATAATTTCTTTCTTAACCGTTTTGCGACTATAACTTCTAAATTGAGGATTTAAACAAGTTTGTGCATAATCTTTAAAAACAAGACTTTCAGAAAACAAATTAGGCAAATTTTCTTCAACAAGTAAGTTAGCCATACCAGTCAAATTTTGTGCATCAGTGTATGAGAAATTGCCGAAAGGTTGGTCATTTGCAAACCTAGATATTTGAGTTTGCTTCCCCTTCCCTTTGTCTATTTCCGCATACTCCACAGAGTGCGCGGACTTAAGATGCCTTTTGAGGCTCCCGTATCCGCCGGAAGTTCCCAGGCTATAATCCTTCTTGCAATGATCGCAACTTGCGTACCATTTATCGGTTTTTGGGTCTTTCCTCTTTGTAAAATTATTTTCTATAATAGGAGATTTAGATTTCTTACCAACTTGGGATGGACCGCCCTCGTCCTCCTCCGCATCATCCGGGGTGCCGTGAGTCCCGTCGCCCCCCTCGTCCTCCTCCGCATCGTCATCCTCGAGCTCCTCTTCATCAATGGACTCCGGGATGTTTTGTTGTCGGAAAAAGCGACCATCATTTTGCGCCAATAGTTGTTGTAGTTGCTCGTCGGACATCGCATCCCCATCTCGCCTTTGGTATCCGTCATCAAAATCTTCTCGACTTTGAGAAGAAGACCCGGCCCGCCCTTTACCTTTGCCTTTGCGTAAACTAGGATGACTTGTCTCAATCTCCTTCCTTCGGTTGCGTTGGAGACTACCCACATCTACGGAATGTCTGGCACAGTCCATCTTTAAAATGTAACATATATTATATGATATCAAATGTTTTAATATGAGTACAATAGTAATAATAAAATGCGACTAATAAAATTAACTACTTTTATAAGTTTATACTTTAATGAAAAATATAACAATTAACTAATTTTATACTTGAATGAAAAATGTAACAATTAACTAATTTTATACTTTAATGAAAAATGTAACAATTAACTACTTTTATACTTGAATGAAAAATGTAACAATTAACTAGTTTTATACTTGAATGAAAAATGTAACAATTAACAATGAACTACTTTTATACTTTAATGAAAAATGTAAAAATTAACTAGTTTTATACTTTAATGAAAAAAGTAACAATTAACTACTTTTATACTTTAATGAAAAATGTAAAAATTAACTAATACGATGAATTTAATTACTATGAATTCAAGTGTAACTAATATAATTGTATAACTAATATATAATATAATATTTATAGTATATAATATATAAGCATATTACTATAAGATGAGTAATACACTTATATATAATACTTTAACATATATAAGTAAATAACAATAAATATAGATAACAAAGTAAATATTAAAAGGATGGAGATGTATAAGTGGATAATAAGTATATATTAAGTAGATAATAAATATTAGTAATATAATATAGGTATATAAGTAGATATAATAATTATATAAATAATATATATATATGTAGAGAGGTTTGGAGAAGATGAAGATGGAGATGTATAAGTAGATAATAAGTAATTTAAGTATATATTAAGTAGATAATAAATATTAGTAATATAATATAGGTATATAAGTAGATTATTTTCTAACTAATATATAATATAATGTTTATAGTATATAATATATAAGTATATTACTATAAGATAAGTAATACACTTATATATAATACTTTAATATATATAAGTAGATAATAGGTAGAGATTAAGTAGATAAGGAATATAAGTAATATAATATATGTATGTAAAGTAGATAATTAATAATTTAATATATAAGTAAATAACAATAAGTA